CAGGTTGTGTGCGTCGGTCGGGGAAAATCAGATCCGGCTATGGTCGAAAGTGGTGTCCCCCAGGGTTCAGTACTGGGACCCATTTTGTTCCTTATCTACGTGGACGATGCCGCAAGAGATTTGGACTGTGAAGTAGCAATGTTTGCGGACGACATGAAGATATGGAGTGTAATTCGTGGTCCTGCCGATGAAGACAGACTGCAGATGAACCTGAATCGGTTGGAGGAGTGGTCAAACCGTTGGCTCCTGCGGTTCAACGTTGCCAAATGTAGCATACTTCGCCTAGGCAACACAGCCAGATCCGCCAGCACAAGAGGCTACTTTCTGGGCGGTGCAGCCCTACAAGAGGTCGAAGCCCAAAAGGACCTCGGTGTGCTTACGACGAGTTCCCTAAAACCATCCGCCCACTGTTCGAGGGTGGCAAAAACCGCAATGTCCGTACTGTACGCCATCAAGCGTGCGTTTATGGACTTTGACGAAGAAGCCTTCTCTAAGACATTCGGAACATTCGTCCGGCCGCATTTAGAGTACGGCATACAAGCTTGGAGGCTGTGTGCTGTTGTGGATCAAAACTGCCTCGAAAGAGTCCAGAGGAGAGCCACGAAGATGGTCAGGGGTCAAAGCTCCTTTCCTTATGCGACCCGCCTAGTAAATCTGAACCTCTTTCCTTTGAGTTACAGGCAACTTCGCGGAGATCTCTTGCAAGCCTTCCGCATTGTAAAGGGGTTGGATTGCAGTCTGGCCTTCGAGGACTTTTTTGAATTTGCTACCACGACCAACCTCCGAGGTCACCCGTTAAAACTGCGCACTCAGCAGGCACGGCTGGATGTGCGGAAGTTCTCCTTCTCGGTTCGGGTGGTCAAACCGTGGAATGAGCTTCCCGCAGATGTTGTGATGTCACCATCTATACAAAGTTTTAAGAAGAATCTGGACATATTTATGTTCCCAAATGACCAAGAGCGATGAGAAGTCGAGCTCACCCCCTGTAACTCCTTCTCATTTTGTCCCACCATTATGGGCGTGTTCGAACTATTTCAGCCCAGAACATCTATCTGTACACCACACATTTTTTACATTGCAAATAGGGTACTCAAAGGCTTACGCCTATTTCCCTCAATAAACTGAACTGAACTGAAAAATTTGGCAACGTCCTCGCCATCACACTACGGAATTATTTGCCGCCAGAAATTTCGAGCGTTTTTAGAAAGACTGTAGTTGGATCCTTCTACAGCAATTTATGGCTCTAGTCGTTCTCAGGCTAGTACTAAAGACAACACAGGAAATTGACTAAAACTGGGACCAAGAAGCCTAGGAAGTCAGGTCCTGATGCCTCGTCCGATTTCAAGCGAGCCATCCAAATATTTCGACTGCTGTGAGTTCGACATTCGGAATAAGTGCTTCTGCGATGAAGTTAGGCTTGTGTATTCGGTCATCCACGTGAACATTTCGAGCAAATTGCTCAGCCAGGATGAGTGTAGCTTCTCCGCGGGTCCTCTTGTTTTGTCCTCGCTGAACCCTTGAAGCTTTCACTGGCACGAACCGTTCTACTACCCTATCGAGCTTCGGAAGTCCAAAAAGTCAAAATCCTGACAACTATACATATCTTGTGACTTAATAACCGCAGCTAAATTCAAATTGTGCGTTTCGTTTTCCAGCTTTGATTCAGTCCATCAATAGTTAGTCTCCAAGATGCACGAGTCTGGTACAGTCGCCGTTTTCTGGACTTAGTTCTGAGCTTGCGACATACTCTTCTTTGAGTCTTAAACGGTCTTTCAAACAGCAATTTCAGTCTTCCATATAGGAATTTCATTGTTAAGAGACGCTCCCAAATGAGATAGGGCAGACTCGGATATCCGTTTCTGACTTATTTGTCGTCGTCGTCTGTCAGCAATGCTACAAGCTCAGGTCAATGGTCTTCGAGCTATTACACCGGACCAATTGGTCGTGCAGCCACATCGAGATCGCTTGCGAAGGCTCTAGACTGAAGCTATTGCCAGGACGTGATCGTTCATATTCCTCACTGCAGTCATGCGAAATCGCTGAACGACACTCCCGTGCACATTTTATTTTTGTGAACGCGGTCAAGGTCAACACTTGCAGCCCGACTTTGAAAAGGTTGGTGAAATCTATATTTTTTTAGTTCGATTTCTTAATCTTTTGCTCATTTTACCAGTATAAATCTTGCAAAATTCATTATGGTTGGTCATAAGCCATCTAAGCTTCCCGTCATGTTTTGTCGATAAAGCGGAAATAAAGGGACATAATTTTTCACCCAACATAGCCACAATCGCTTTAAGCTTCATCCGTACACACAAGAGGTTTTTTTCGTAAAATTTTTAAGAAACATTATACTTTTACCGATAAATCTTATCTGAGCACGTTTATCGTCGATTTATTAACAAGTAAGTGAACTATACTGTCCTCTATTCTATCGTACCTAGCCTCATGATTCAATACAAATTCTATTCATAGTTTTGTTTTGCCACCTGCGAAATTATTATTTACCTGCTTTTTCTCCCACAACATTCTATTTTTGATTAAAAATTGCTTCGTGACAAATGTGCTGTCTGGTCCACCAATACTGATAGGTTTCAGAAATTGTTTCATCATACATAGCCTCATCCTTATATCCTCAAAGTTACGGCTGTTATCATCCCTATAGATGAAGGTTAAGGTCAGTATCGGTCAGTATATTTTAAGAGTAATAGGCAATGCCTTTGAAAACCCTATTGTAAACCCCTATTGAAAACTTGTGTATTGTTATTTTTTCGACATGAAACCTCAGGTAACCCTTCATCGAAATTTGAAGGAAACTAACCTCCAAGTCTCTCATCTGAAAGCCATTGTCAATATGAAATAATAGACCTACGAGCGCTCGACAATGTTAACAGTTTTATGTCTCGTTACGATTCATTTATTTTGTTCTTGGTGCCCTTCTTGAGAGAAAATTGCCAACCCTGCCTCTCAGCAATGTGAGAAGCTCATGCCTCTTATTAACCTGGTTGCTTTTAAGACCGAAGACAGGCACAAACGAAGTTTCAACTTAATTTTTAAAAAATGTTCCCAAAGGTGAACAGCCCATTGAAGTTGCCTTTCACTTCCTTCATTCGTGTGACTTTAAGGTCGCTGAAGCTAAAAGCCTTTCATCTAGAAGCGAAAATCCACCAATTCATGCCAAACTATTTTCGTCGATAG